TCCTTAGCCTTCAGGAAGCATTGCATTTTTGCAGCCCAAATAAGATAATTCTTTTGACCCAATCAAGGCAGAGAGCTCTCCTTTAAATCAGCCATCCTGCAAGCCTTCAGCTAAGCAGCCTCTGCCTTTTTCTTGTTTATTTAACTCAGACAGTCCTTCAGCTTAATTACAGCTCCATGTTGAGCCTCAGTCTTTTTCTTCAGTCTGAACTGTGTGCAAGGGCTGGCTGGGATCTGGGCCCATAACCTGTTAAGAGTTTTACAGCTTTCCAGTGCAAAAATAAGCCCCAAAATAAGCACACATTCAAAATGAGCAGGAGGCATAGTTTAGAAAACTTTATAAAATATATATAAACATACATACAGTTTCATTCAGCTCTGGGAAACATCAACAACTCTTAACTTGGAGATCAGGAAAAAAAAACACAGAGAAGACTAAGACATGCCCAGACCTAGGCTGGATCACATGCTTCACACAGCCAATACTGTGTCTTAATCAAAAACAGTTCTCATTGGCTGGTTTGTTGCTATAGCTATTCCAGTTCATAAAATTTCTTACACACTGACAAAATCCTCAGATACCAAAGATTCCTGCCAAAAAAGAAAATGCAGAAAGAGCTTCCTGAGAGTAGAAAGTTGGAATCTGTTAGGATTAATTTTATTTAAAGACAAAATCCAGTACAAAACAAGCAAGGGTCTTAGTTACCAACTGAGGTCACTATATTTCTTAGCATGTATAGCAGACTTCCTCAACCTGGGTGCTATCTATGTATGGATTCTAACTTCCAGAATTCAGCAGCCACTATGATGCCAAAACTGGGGAAAGCAGGTTTACAAACTGTATAGCATTTCAGATGAAACTTGTCAGCAATCCTGTAAGGCAGGTCAATACAAAGAGACTCAAACTGCAGTGGAAACAAGGTGCTAAGACATGTAGAAGTTGCTTGTTCAATTCCGGTTTTGCGCAGTAGCGCAAGTAGCCGAGGGATCGTGGGGTTCTGTACCCTACGGCCGATTCTTTTCTGTTTGGGGACCCTAAATGGGCCTAAAGTTCCCCCGGAGAGGCAACAAAGAAGGAGGGAAGCCCCGCCGACCGCAGAGAGATGGCGGTCAATACAGTCGTTCTGGGAAAGACCTCCAGAAACCAACAGAAGAAAGGTTAGCTTTACTCCAGAGTCTAACCCAAGCTACAAGCAGCTGAAGCCAAAAAGCACTAAGTTAAGCTTGATCGTAAACAACGTGTTTGGAACTGGGTAAGAATACCGATTCGCTCTCTTCTACTTGATAATTGATTTCCTGGAGAAAAAAAAACCAAGAAGCAAAAATCCTCTGAAAGTGAGAGGAGGGAGATTTTTGCTCCACCCTCCCACAGACAGAAGCGGCGAATTACATTTTTATGGGGGACAGAAATATACTGAAATTAAATGAATATAAGACTTAAATCTGGATAAGTGTGAAATTGGTGGAATTAGTTTAAGACTTTCTTGGCAAAAGATTATTGATGAAAACAGAAGGCAATTGCCTGTTTTGAAAACTGAAAAATGAATTGGTGCTGATATCTAGTGGTGGATGAAAACATACAATTATAGCTACTCTAATACAGGAATTGGCAAGCCTAGGAAAAGATAACTTGTTATTGTGACCTTCAACATTTTAACTAAACAAAGAACAGCCATAATAAAGAAAAGAAAACATTTTGGGCTATCTACAAAGCAAGAACCATAAAACATAGAAAATAAATTGGCCTTCCTGGATTATAAAGACTTATTGAACTGTGACTCTGAAGCTGTTTGCAGAGAAAGGAAAACTTTGATTTTGGCTATCATGGAACATCAGAGATCTGCAGAAAAAACATATCAAGAAAAAACAAATACTTTCCAGGAGGAAATGTATGCTAGGTTACAACTAATACAAATGACAATGATTTCAAACCACAAGGAAATTAAAAATAACTTTGAAAATTT